CCCCACAGTTTGAGAACCACTGGTTTAGTAAAATGACAGTTGGTTCATATTTGATGTTGCTGAAATGGTCATTTGGTAACTGCTTCTTATATTTTATTTAATGAAAATTGACCACTTTGTTCTGTGAAAAATCTTTCCTCTTCCTCCTTTATCTCTAACCATACATCGTTTGCAGCTGGTTCTTCTCCCATTTTGTTGTTGATTCTTCACATCAAGCACTTTCTCTAAACTTAGATAACCGTACATGCATAAAATATGGTAGTGACCTGCATTTTAAGACCACAGCGTACGACTGCAGCTCTGTCTGGTACAGTTTGCAGCTCACTTAAGGCAAGACCTGTTATTGACAATCCCATTGTTCTGTGCATTTCTTGGAAAGTCGTTTTTATGTTAACATGCTAATTTGTACTTTGTCTTCAGGCAGACAAGCGGAAATCTTTTTCATGTTCTTTTTGGTTAAAAAAAACATCTTCTCTACACAGCTTGGGGAAAGCTACAAGGACGATCCACTCCTTGCAAAATACTACACTACTTCTGTTGTCACTGCATTCAGGTATTGCTGAGATCTTGAGCTCCTCTTATTTTTTTTATGCTGCTAAACTTGCTTGCTTCTTCTTAAATGTTAATGCTTTTTACTGAATGGTCTCTTTATGCTCTCTGTTTCTTTCTTTTTGATTTCTGTTTGCACCAGTGAGGGTGTGATAGCCTACTACTGGTCCCAGTTTGATATTCCAGTCGAAGACCTTGAGATTGAGCCGGAGTTCTCAGAAGAGCGGGTGCTGCAGACACTGGAGAATGGCATTAAGCAGCACATCAGTGGGAGCCGCACAAATATCAAGATCAGTAAAATCACTTCCTCATGTAGGTACCACCAGGGGCCAGGTGGGGTGGAGAGGGGTCACACCGTGGGGGCAGAAACATAGGGACAACTGGGTGTTTTCTACAGCTGGGTCCAGATTATGACATTTAACAATATCAGATAAAGATAAAGCACTATGACTACAGATCTGAATATAGTCATTGTCATGTCCTATCGGCATTGGTATTCTGTATGCTTTCTATTTGTATTACAGGAGCTCGCTTTGAGTTGTGCTGATAAGATGATAACAGATAAGCCAGACCTCTCTGCTTGTGCTGCATCTGAGATTGCACATTTTATGCTGTTTGGATCCTCTAATGATATTAGCTGAGCCCTGGCCTGGCTTGAGACAGCCATTTTTCTTCCTTCTGTCTTCTCAGCATTCACATTGCATTTGTCCACATTCTGGACACCAGCCAAGCGCTGGCCCTGTGACTCAGTGGTTTTGGTCCTCTTTAAAATGATTTCTGTGGGTATGATTTGATGTTGCTGTCCCAGATAGTTAGACAGAGATGTATGGGTTGCTGCTGTAGGGCAAGGTGAGATGGAGCAGAAAGAGCTACACACCATCACCAGTTTCCTTAACCGCAGGGAAATGGAACAGAAAATGTGCAACCCAAATATTTTAGGCTCATGCATCAAATTCTATCAGCATCCCAATGTTAGTGACCCATTCTTACCTTTTCCTCCTGTTTCTCTGACACCCGCCCCTCTGTCTCCAGTCACAGATCCTCGCATGGCCAGGAACCCCAAATCCAGTGAGTACAGCGTGTCCCATTTCAATCACTCGCAGTTGTAATTTTCCAGCTGGCTAGATGCTCACCCTCCTGCCAGTCTGTAACGAATGACTGGCCTGGCCTGTACTGTACATGGGCTGCTCTAGTCAGAGATTGAGAACCCTGTATCAGGCCAGAGCGAGTCAGTCTCTATGCCCGACACTTTTCTTTGACACTGTCTGGTGATTTATAACCTTGGGATGATTAGACTGCATTACATTACATTACCATAGTAGCTGTACTATCCTTACATTAATCTGTCTTTTCTATAAAGGAACTTGTGATCACAGTGTTCAAATGTGTCATTCGTAATGCATGTCATTACTTTGCATCATTAAGAACTGATTCCAAGGAAAATTAGATAAGATACAATCTTTACTGATTTCTTAATTTTTCTCAGCTTTTCAAATTAAGATTAGCTTTTTATTTACAACCAATAAATGAACTGTTGCCAAATCACACGTGCATGCTCACTGTATGATACAACAAATGTTTTTCCCAGGTGAATGTTTCTTCCATCTGGAGGCTGAAGAAAAGGAGCAAACATTTCAGTCACCAGGGTACCCCACAGCCTACCCCCCCAGGTCTCGGTGTCAGTGGCAAATCAGAGCTTCAGAGGAAAATGTCATATCTGTCGCTTTCCCCTTTTTCCACATCGAGGATGACTGCTCAGATGACTTTGTCTTCATCTATGACTCTTTGAGTCCAGATGATTCTAAGGCCATCACAAAGTAAGTCATAGGGCTGAATGTCCAGAGGGTTTTGGAAACATGTTCGTGATGGTACAAGGTCACACTGATGCTCTTCGAAAGTTAAATCTCTATGAATGGATCAGGGCTTACTATCATACTATTTAGTTGCAGCATGCTGTGCAGTATTCCCTTCACTGATATCTCCCCCAAAGAGGAATTTTATTTTAAATAAATCCAGTAAATTGACTCATTTTTGCTTCTACAGTACATCAAATTGTGACACAAATCACATTCTCTTTTTGCCTTAAACCTTCATGGCAGGGTTTGTTTGATTGGGCTCAACCAACATTTGTCTCATTTATTTAGCCTTGAAGATCAGAGAGAGGGGAAATATAGTTCTACATGATTCCCAGAGGACAGCACTAGGAATCACTTTGTATTTGAGTGAAATGTTGCAGAGGGATTTAGGAGTAAAAGCTGTTTTGATGTGGGTGGAAAACATGTTCCACTTCATTCCTTTCACTGGATTTGTGATTACAACTTTTTTTTTGGCCCTGAAGCCTTTAGCGCTGCATGTCCCATTTTATTGTTAACTTTTGAGACCTCAGTGAGATTGAGTTGGCTCAAAAAGACCTCTCCTTTCAAATCTGTGATGGGTGCCAACCTGAATCCTGCTACACCATTGTGTGTAATTGCACTTTGTCTATGGGGGAGTGCTATGATTCTAAAACTACCGGCTCCTGAATGCAACATCAGTTGTAGCTACAGGCAATTTCAAACTCAGAAACCATTGCCAAACAAATATGCGTTACCAAGCGATGCATAAAATTTTTATAAAGCTATTGAGCGATCAGCTTTATCCAAGGTGACATGGGGTTTATGAGAGCCATAATATAATACTCTATAATGACATTATTCTACTGGAGGTAGATGTATTGCTGCTCTTGCAGCGTCATTCACACCTCCATTGCTCTGCCGCCAGCAGTGCTGAAACTTTTTGCTAATGTACCTAATGTTTGACTTTGAAACTCTGCCTAAGCCATTTCTATCTAGTGCTGGCACATCTCTCCCTATTTATCTCTTTCTCTACCTCTCTCTGCTTATCTATTGATTTCTTTTCAAATTATTTTTTTCTTGAAGCATTTTAAACTCGTTTGCTGAATTGACATTTTAGTGCTTCTGACTAAAAAGAATTACAGCTTTATTTAAAGTGTTGCACATCCTAAGGATAAGCAAAACTCTATTCTTTAAATGCGCAGACATTCATCTTTTGTATCATAGTTGTGTTTATTACATTTTGTTGCAAACACCTTTTTTTGATTCTGTAATTGTACCTGATTTATGTGCCCATCCGTCTCTTGCAGCAAGTGTGGTCAGAGGCCCCCCTCAAACCCTCTGGAGGTTGTGTCATCTGGCAACATCATGCTGATTAACTTGATTACTGACGGTGACACCCAGCAACCTGGCTTCGAGGCTGTGTATAAGGCCATCCCCAACTTTGAAGGTAATTAAGACATTCACAACACTAAGCATAATTTTTTTTTTCACCTGCATTCTGAACTTAATCTACAGCGGCTTATTTTTTTTCAGCTAAAAAGTGCGGTGGCGACCTCTCTGAAAGCGCAGGAGTCTTCACCTCCCCACTTCACCCCAGCTTCTATCCCCCTGCCGTGGACTGCAAGTGGACCATCAAGGTTTGCAACACTGCTCCTCTCCCTGGCCCCCTCCTCTACCTGAAACCCCTCTACCCACCACCTCCTCCTCCTCCTCCTCCTCCATCCTCGGCTTGCCATGAGAGGAATGCTGAGGCAGCACTATAGAAGCCAAGCTGTTCAGTACCTCTTCTATCTTCATCTGTCAGACCGATGTTGCTGCCGCAGCCCTAGCTGGGCTGCAGTATTTTGTGTGTTGGTTTTGTTTGCTAGTGTGTATGTAGTGTCTGCGTGTGCGTACATGCGGGTGTGTTGCAGCTTGTATGCTTGCGTTTACTGTACATGAGATACAGATGCATGCCTTCGTGTGTATGTGGAGATGTGACATGCATGGTAAATAAGGTTGTTATGAACCAATTGCCTCTTCCTCTGTTCTGTAGGTCCCTGATGGAAAGAAGGTGCGGGTGAAGTTCACCATGTTCCGCATGAAAGAGCCCGGGGTGGACACCCGCGTGTGTCACAAAGACTATGTGGAGGTTATGGACACCAAGTAAGACATAAATTCATGTAAATGACACCCTAAACTGTCTGTCATAAACATCCATCACAGTTTACAGACCGACTTCTGGTTAAACTTTGACCCACTGTGTTGTATACAGTTTTTGTCTGGATAGTTTTGCTGTGCAGTTACTCACATTTAAAGATCCAGTGTGTAGGATTTAGTGGCATCTAGCGGTGTAGTTGCAGATTGCAACTCACTCGCTTCAACTTCCCTTTCAAGGGAGTACAAGGGAAAGACTATGCAGCCATCCAGTGCAAAAAACACCAGCCAGCCAGTACCTAGAACCAGTTTTTGTTTGGCTGTTCTGGGCTACTGTAGAAACATGGCGGTTTAAAATTGTGGCCTCCACCAAAGGGTTATTTTCACACTATTGAAAACCTTTGAATATTGTATTCCAATAGTGCCAGTAGATCCTTCTAAATGTTACACACTGGACCTTTTTAAGGTTCTCTCACTTTCAGTTTTACCTCCAAATAAAATCTGTTGGACGATCTAACTAAACAGTTTACAGTTGTTTACAATTTGTCTGACTACTCTTTCTTCTCCCGTTGAACATTTTTGTAGCAATGTTGCCCTTTTCTCTAATCTCAGCAACTTGGTCAGCATATTGAAAAGAAAAGCAAAATAAACATTGGTCTTGTGTCATAGGTATTGTGGAGAACTGACTTCTTTGGCTCTGACCAGTGACACCAACATCCTAAATGTGAAGTTCCACTCTGATGAGTCCTACACCGATAAAGGCTTCAGTGCAGAGTACATTGCCTATGATCCTAAAGACCGTGAGTTAAAAGTCTTGTTTCACACCCACATATACACGACAGTTGATGAGATGGGTGAAATGTTGCGACGTGACAGTGACACTCATCGCCTGCCAATATAGAACAAGACGCTGGGAGTAACTGTGGAGTCTGAGAGGCAACGAGACGGTAGCTGAATGACAGTCAAATAGAGCTGTTTAGTGATAGAGGCTTAGAAACTGCGGCAGTGAAACTCAAGAGCTAGACTAATCACCAGAGAGCTTGTTTATTGGGTCCATTTTATTTGCCACTGTCAGTCAGGAGCACTCCACTTTCAATACTCTCCGCTTTTTATGTTGTCTCCCAGTTTGAACGAAATGGATTTATAATTGCTCTGATCAACAGGGACAAGCATTGGCAACATGATGGATGTTGCGAACATACACTGTCACTCCCTCTCGCTCAATTTGTCATCATCCTTTTTTCTCTGCTCCCTTGTCTTTTCTCTGGTTTGCATGCAGCTTGCCCCAACAAGTTCCCTTGTGCCTCTGGCATCTGCATCGCGAAAGAACTGAAGTGTGATGGCTGGAACGACTGTGGTGATATGAGCGACGAGAGGCAGTGCAGTAAGTTTCACCGTTGACCCAGCTGCACTCTTCTGTCTTTTCTCTCCTCTTCATTTACTATCCTTTTTCGTATATCCTCCTCTTTGCTCCTTTTTTGAAAGGAATAGTTTGATATTTTGGCAGATAGTTTTACTTCCCTTCTTGCCAGGAGTTGGTGGTGAAGATCAATACCACTCTCATAACTGGCCCGTTAAACATAAAGCTACAGCCAGCAGCCAGTTGGCCAGCATAGCATTAAGACTCAATACAGGGGGTATGGCTAGCCTGGCTCTGTCCAAAGGCAAAATCTGAAGAGTAAAAACAAAGCGTTTGGGGTTTTATGGGGGATGATGTACAAGAACTATTTCCTGGCCCGGAGCAGCGATTTCCTGGAGTCTTGATCTTTATTGTATGGTTGCCAGACTTCAGGAGTGTCGCACACAACCCCCCCAAAAAACACAATTTGTTGTTTTTACACTTTAGTTTATTTCATTTGTACTATTACCAGACAGACATGTTCGTTAGTCAGTTTTTAGAGGTGATTTTGTTCCCTTTAAACAGAGCCAGGTTAACTGTTTCCAGTCTTTGTGCTAAGCTGGGCTAACTGGCTGTTTGCTGTAGCTTCATATTTATCCTAATTATCTTTAGACCTACTGGTGATAACTGGTGATATATATGCAAGGATTTGTGATGGTAAACATTCCCTCTTCAAATCAGTACATCTTCCTCAGTGACATTGTTTAATACATGGTGTTTCCATTACCTCAGATTGTGAGAAGGATCAGTTTGCTTGTGGGAACGGCTTGTGCAAACCGAAACTCTGGGTGTGTGATCGCGTCAATGACTGCGGGGACGGGAGCGACGAGAAACAATGCAGTAAGTATTCCCATCTTAAAGCGCTCTTTAGGGGACACAAATCTAATGCTATGCTAATTTTGCTAACATTAAACATCACTGCTAATGCTCTGGTCACTGACTCCTGGGCTGTGTGCAGTTATTGTGTTATCAGTAATGGAGTTTGTTTGAAGCCTGGCCCCAATTTGCTCAGCAGCAGTTAATCATGTGTAATACACGCAAGAAGAATGAAAACAGATGCTGATGTCCACTGTGGCTGCACCGCTAATGTCCTTCTGAAACTTATTGGCTTGTCTGCTCCTTATTCAAGTTTTCATCTTTATTCTATTATACTGTAAATTTCTCATCACTATGTTTAATTGCCTCCAGGTTGTGAGCAGAATGAGTGGCGCTGCGGTAACGGGATTTGCCTGCCTCAGGATGTCGTGTGTGACAACAAGAAGGACTGTGAAGATGGAAGCGACGAGGCCTCTTGTAAATCCTGTAAGTAGCAGCACTTATTCTCTTCCCAGCATTTGGAAAAGATCCTCACCACAGTGATTTATAAGCATGTTACACAAACCATTAAGTATTTAACCTTCATTCACAGCTCAGTAACGTTTTAGTTTGCACAACGATGCTTCATTCTTAATTCAAAGTATTATTCACTGTCTACATTATTTTAGCTCTTTCTCTCATTTCCTCCTGTTCCCTACTTGACTCTTACTCAATTTCCCTTTCACTCACTCACTCGGTCACACACATACACATGCGCACAGAAACACACACACACACAGAGGGCACTCTTGCATTTCCTTTGATTTTCACTTCTGTGAATAAAGAGGGATATTAGACCTCAACCCCAATCAATACCCCCAATCAATGCAGTCTGCTCCTCAATCACTATGCATTGTGCATTCAAGTCTCACTTTGAAGCCTCACTGATTGCAGAGTATTTTACTTGTCTAGTATTTTCGTGGTATTTTACTGCTGTAACACTTTGATTGAAATGTGCTATGTGTTTTGATTTTGGAACCTGTCTCCGCCCCGCTGTAGCTTCGGGTATCTGTTCCGACTTCAGCTTCAAGTGTGAGAACAAAGAATGTATCAACAAGGTGAATGCAGAATGTGACCGCATCAACGACTGCTCCGATAACTCAGACGAGGCCAGCTGTGGTAAGAAATGTTTTCTTTCCTCTTACAAAATTCAGCTTTTTAAATGTTTAAAACAGCTGAAAGTGGATATAATCTCTTCAGTGTCATTCAAATAGATCATAGAAGAGCTGGTTGAGCTGTGCGTTGGGCTGTCTGTTAGAAAAGACCCCCAGGCCTTGATTGCTTTATTTATTTAATTCTTCTTTGAAAGCAGCTCTTGTCATCTCTGAAGATTTTTTTTTTTTTTCTCTATTTAAGCCTCAGGGTGTGTCTGTGTTTTTTTCCCCCTTTTTTTTTTTTTGTTTAATCTGCTACTACTGTGCCTTATTTGGATTCTAGAGAGTCATAATAGCATTCACAGCCAAGGCTGGCATCATGATGGCTTCAAGTCAACTTTAGGAATTTTCAGATTTTTCCCTCTGATCATTCATGCCAGTCTCACCTTGTATTCTGCACTCAACCCAGCCAATGTCCCTCCTCTCTCATTATATTCTCTGTTAAATGTCAGATTGTGGCACCAGGCCCTATAAGCTCAACCGCATCGTAGGAGGGCAGAACGCTGAGCTGGGGGAGTGGCCCTGGCAGGTCAGCCTTCACTTTCTGACCTATGGGCACGTTTGCGGTGCCTCAATCATATCTGAGAGGTGGATCCTTTCGGCCTCCCACTGTTTTGTCACCAGCAGCCCAGAGTAAGTTACAGTTCAAACATCCATAGCATACATGGACACATACACATGTACAGAGCAGGACTATACTGTGTATCACATCTAACACATTCCCTCTAATATATTTTGGTGCATAAACAGTTATTGAAGTTTCCCTTCATATTTTATTATTCATCACATTATTTAAGATTTTATTAGATCTTATTATGCAATATTCTCATACACATTCTGCAGGAAAAAAAAGAACTGTGCACAACAGAGGGCCATTTATATACAAATTGCAAAGTCTGAAAATTAGCCCCTGATGATGCAGTTAATTCAGAAAAACCTTGGGGGGCCTAAATTTACATCTCATCCATGAAAGTATGGAGCTGTATTTGTCGGAGTGCCCTGTAGGTGGAGCACTAACCATGCTGTTAGACCCAAGCCGCCTCCATTGTTATTGAGCAGGATTCACAGTTGGTGATATTTACTATACACAATGCTGTTATTTAATTTGTAAGCATTTTCAAGATTATTTATTCAAGACACTGTAAAGGCTTTCTTTACAGCCATATATCACCATAAGTAGTATGTAATTTTGCTTGTTTATACAGGGGTGGCAACTGTATCATAGGAATTTAATGCAATCCAATACAATAATGCTGTGGCAAATACTACCTTTGTAACTTAAAATGTTCAGTTTTCGAGACTGTTAGAGAGGATGTCATTTGTGGTGGTATTATATTGATTTGCTTTATGTTGAAAGCTGCTCTTGTCATTTTGTTGAACTGACACAGTCTCAACAGACAGTGTATCCCTACAGTAGTATAAGTTGCAGGGCTTGTGTTGGATTGTATTAGCTTGCACACATGTTCCTGATATTGCATCCCCCCCACCTAGGGTCACGCATGTACAGAAACATAACCTTTGCCCCATGATGCTATACACACTACCACAGGAATTCTATCGCATCCAACTGGCAAACCTACAGTGGCATGCAGGACCAGTACAAGCAGGATGGCGTACTGCGCCGCCCAGTGAAGAGGATCATCTCCCACCCGAATTACAACCAGATGACCTTTGACTATGACATTGCACTGCTGGAGCTCAGTGAACCGCTGGAGTTCACCAACACCATCCAACCCATCTGCCTACCCTCTTCCTCCCACGTCTTCCCTGCAGGCATGTCCTGCTGGGTCACAGGCTGGGGCGCACTCCGAGAAGGAGGTATTATGCAGAAATTGGTGATTCTGTGTAGAACTGTAGTCATTTTTTGTTTTGCATTGTAACTGATTATTATACTAATTTTGAATATTTATGCTGTTATTCCTTAATTATGGGTGACCCACTCTACAATTGTGTTTTCCTTTTTGCAAATCCAACTCGCATCAAAATTAAGACAGCCCACTCCTCCCCCAACCTTCTCACAATTAGCTATTCATCTCTGTCCTTCATCTTCTTTCCGTGCCTGCCTACTTCTTCTTCATCTCTCTCATTTCATCTGGTCTTCTTCTTTTCCTTTAATGTCCCTCCCATTTCTTTATCTCTCCCATCATGACATACTTCTCTTCCGCTCAGCCCTCCCTCCCTTTTCTCTCATCTTTTTCTAATCTGCTCTATTCCATTAAGCCTTCTTCCATATCCATATATCAAGGCAGACGTCGGCTCTCCTGGGAAGCCTCTTAAACCTTCATTAGCTAACACTAATCCTGCACATTAACACCTTTGATGTTAGTGACGAACACAGAGGTCACGTGGCGGAGCACTGACCCCTTTGTCCTGCTCTTGCAGGTCAAAAATCACAAATACTGCAGAAGGCATCGGTGAAAGTCATCAATGACTCTGTGTGTAACATGGTCACAGAAGGCCAAGTCACCTCCAGGATGCTCTGCAGTGGATTCTTGGCTGGAGGAGTTGACGCATGCCAGGTGAGACCATGTTGTTATATATATGTTATTTTTATTATTATTTTTATATATATTTTATATATATATTATATATTATAATATATATATATATATATATATTATACTATATATATATATATATACTATATATATATATACTAATTATAT